ATTGATATAATAATGTTATTCACTTCTAGTACCTAAGTTGAATGGTAAATCAATAACAAGTACAACTGCGATTAACATCAGTACGAAAAATTTTATTGATTGAAAATACGAAATTATGTTTGTTTAGATAGCACTACAGGTATAAAAAAGAGAGAAACAAGATTTATATGATGAAAATAGAACTTTATTAGAAGGTAAAACAAGTACAAGTTCGCAGGAAGATTCATTTCACTTTGAATTAACTACACCAACCACAACTAAATCGAATGATCTAGTTATCTGTAAGTTCTTGGTTTTTGTGTCTTCTCTATCTTAATATTTATTGAATGTAGTTACACCGGCTCTTATATCTGATTTTCATGAATACGACGAATCTATTGGTCTTTCGCTTAGCCATTCTCTCTATTATAATATCCTACATCTAACTTTAGTACAAGGATTCGTAGTTAATGTTAGTCTACGTCTTTTTACTAGTTGGGAAGGCGATGATCCACTTTATCTTTTTTCTATATCAAAATATCATATTGATCATCGAATAGCATATCGTTATCCTGTTGTTCCAGAAAGAAATAATACAGAATGGCAAATAATTGAAATTCCGTTCGGAGTATTTCCTCTATTTGTTTACGATCATTTAGCTATTGGTATGCAAGATACTAGTAAAACAAATCAAATTTATTCTATAAGATCAACAATAGCAATACATGGAAAAAATATTATGAATAATACAATGGATGTTTATCCACAATCAATGCCAGATACCTACGGTGCTGCATTCACTTATACTCTTGTTGAAGACCGTAAGAGAATATTTAATAAAACTGCTTGTTCATGTTTCATTTTCTATTTAGGACAAATTGAATGAAAGGTACCACGTATTCGTTGTTGAAAATTTATATTCAATTTATGAGACATTTGATTTTTTTTTCTTTTGCTATATATACATACCATCGTGCAATCTATGTAATAAATGTATTTGTCTAAAAATAGGAAAAATTACCGGATGTATCTTTTAGTTTTCTCTTAAAAAGAATACATGACTTTGTTAAGTCCGATGTCAAATATTGAAAGACTACTATTTCATGATATAAAATTATTTTTATCATTTTTATCAATGAATAAAATGAAAACTGTCTAAATCTTAAATGTGAAGACTAAAACTTTTGATTTGAATGAATATAACATCGGAGATAGATAATCCAAAAACAAGAACATAATCGGTAAGTATTAATTCTTTTGTCAATCTGTTTATAAACAGTTTATACCGTTGATTTAATGATTTCCTCTAACCAAGTTAGATGCTTCTTTAGAGAAAAGTATATAAAGTAGTGGAAAAAAATTAACAATAGCGTATTTTTGATTTAGTTTCTATAATGCTAAGCAGCTAGCTCAAATTCTGATAGTGATTTTAATATCTAATGAAGTTTTCTATCTAATGTATTCCGTAGCAAAATTTCATAGGTGAACTATGATGGTAAGGTTGCTAAAACCGAACATGATAGCTTTTTGGTCCTAGAAGACTTTATCGGAGCTATTTTTTTAACAATGCCATTTTAAAAACCACAAAATTCTGAATAAAATATGGGATCGCCGCATTTTCTATGATATTTTCTTAAAAAGTGGAAAGTATCACAAAAATCAATAAAAGCAGATTTTCGCCAATTTTTTGATATTTCGTTTTGTGGAACTCACATATATTTTCGAAGAAAATATAACGAGTGGAAGTTTAAATCGAGGTCTCTGCGACTTCCCTCTAGGCTCTTGAGATCAGGAGAGACCAACAATGATTGAATAAGTTTTCCTGGCAATGGGATAATGTGCATCAGTAATAATAACGAGTAGATCATTCTAAAACTTTGTAGAATCTTTCAAAATATTCTATGAATTTATTAAGATTTCTACGGTAGATTTTAACTAGTCGAAATATTGTGAATTTAGGGATTTAATACGGTGAAAGGATCTTATTGTAAGTGTCAATCAGTAGAGCAGTGGTGTCATTGATCTAGCAGAGTCAGATATAGGAGAGGCATGAAAAAGTTTGAACTAATTGAATTTCGAAGTTTAGAGAAAAATCAACAGTATATGTGAAGATTCCTCGAGAGAAAAGATGATGTGCTCGGAAGCTTATTGAACGATTAAATCAAAGTGTATAGCAGCACAATATCGTGGCTCAATTGACAAAACGAAGAATAGAATGATATTTGCCGCTTCCTATGGCACGTATCATATATATTGTCATTAGGAAAAAAGAAGTTGTTATGTATTGAAGATATAGCTGACAATACAAATAAGTTGTTTTGAACATAACGAGGTTAAATGTATCTAAGAAATTGATAGCATAGTTATTCTAAATCCAAACATTTTCGAAATGATAAAATTTCAGAGCGCGTGCGTATCAACTAGAAAAATTGTTATAATTTTGATTTACTCATTTATTTGACATTTTTTTTTAAATAAAAATATATTTTAACCTCTCTGACAGTATATCATAAATTTATAACAGTCAGAGTTTGTGAATTTCACATTGTGATTTTCTATAGAGCTGCACTGACAAGTTTTTTCATGTATTATCTGATGTGAATCATGTAATAGTTGATGAAAAAAAATAAAAGGAAATAGCACTTTTCTCATTATTTTGATCACCTTTCGAAGCTAATCGCAGAATAAAAATTTAGAAGATGTATTTTTGTGTTACTAGATAAAACGATAATCTAAATTTCGAGACGTAACGAAATCTTAAGCAAGTTCATATTCCTATATAAGAATAGTTATATCAAGTGAATTCCATGTGTATATTTAAGATATCCTTACAATATTTCATGATCTTTAAATATTGTTGATAATCTAGTTAAACGCCATGTCCTATCTCATGACATATATAATGGAAGAAGTGAAGAACTTTGCTCTTGAAAAAACGTTTTCATTGATTTTTAACAATATAGAGAACCTAGACGTCAAAAGTTGATATACATCAGCATTTAAAGACTGATGAGATCGGTACTGAACTTTCTTTTATATGAGAATTATCTGAAAACACTAATAAGATAAGTAAAATAAAACAATATTAATAATTATTACAGTTATAACTATGATTATTACTTATCACTTCGTGATAAAATTTGATCTTCCTTAACTATTGCTATTAAAACCGCTCATATCCTGCAAATCGCCACAGTTGGGATAATTAATCACTGCACATCGACGGTTTTCGATGCATGAAATCAATAACGATTTATCGATGATTTCATGACGACAAGAATGGCTCAATGGTTAAGTAAAGAGATTAAAATAATCATCTGTCAATAAGAATGATTCCAAAACTATTTTTAAAATTAGATAGTTTATTATATCGTGAAGGTCCGTACTCCCAGGTAGATCATTCCGACCGTCGAAAACGGCGTCTTATCCGGCCTGAAACGGCTATAAAACGGCGAATTACTGCATTAATTTTGGCCTTATTTCGCCGTAATCCATTATACCGCATTACGAGCCGTTTCTATCGCTAAAAAACGGCCGTCGTTTTTTCTCGATTTTGCTTCCGTAACCTGGTATGACGGATTACGGCGCCGTTTATCGACATTTTACATCGTTAATCGCCGTTTTATAGCCGTCTCAGGTCGTTTACGACGCCGTTTTATTGGACCTGGGCTAAATATGTATTAGTGCTTCAGCAGACTGACATGCCAATTTTTGTACTAATTTTGTACAAACAAGAAATAAACTACTTAGCTTTTCTGTTCATGCGAGTTTCCACCGTAATTTTCATAAAAATTCGAGCTCTTGCTCATTTTCTGAACAAATTTTAAAGTTTTTTAGAGAAAAACTTTTATAAAATATATGAAACAATGAAAAAGAAGAGCAAAAATACCTTAAAAACTTGAAATTTTGCCTAAAAAATGAACAAAAACTGGTGTCTTCACAAAAGTTACGGTGGAAACTCACATAGACAAAAAAAAGCTGAACCGTTTGTTTCCTTTCGGTACAAAATTAGTACAAAAATAGACATGTCTGTCTCCTTGGGAAGATTCATTTCAGCCAATACAGAACAAAGGAAGATACATCATTATCTATTATAAATCTGAATAATCTCATTTTACTACACAAGCCCTTCAAAGCTACACAGCATGATGCTATGCGTAAAGAATGCTTTTCTTGTCTTCAAAGGTGAAGAAAAGAAAGTACTTTTTCGATCCTTGTGAATCAATAAAAATCAAAGTACTCAAGAAAAGATGCAACATCAAGTCCTAGATCGTTAACAGAAAACCAATAATACAATGTGTGGTACTTATATTTAAAATCCTATCTAAACTTTTGCTTAGTATATTCCTCGACAAGGTTTTATTATTACAGTGTTGTAATTAGTGAGCATTATCTTTGACAAACATAATGCAATATTGTATTCCATTTCTCCTATGTAGGTTGGGAAACTTTATGATTGTTACTGTCACGTGCATGAAATTTATCATATATCAAACTGATGATAGTCGTTAGTCAATAAGTCTATCGGAGAACGTTAGTGTAGAGTATATATTGTGAATCATAAACAATCATTACAAAATTGCGAGTTTCAATAATATTCGAGAAGTAATCGTAAAAAACCGTCTTCTTTGAGGATTTCATTGCAATTTCATTTCACAATTGATCGGACTAATATATCACGATAAAATGGTCGGTTTTTAGACGATCATCATTACATAGGAAGATATAAAGCTAGTATTTTTTATGTTTAATTATTTTTGTATAAATTAATCAAACTTTCAGTAAATAACTAGTTATTGAGAAGATCATTATCTATACTATGTTCAGATATGACCTAATGAATAAAAAACAATAGATGTAATACACTGTAATTCAACTAAACCGTCAACTTCTTTTCAACAATAAAAATATTACAGTAAATTGAGCAATACAAATATATCATACATCAGATTTTTTTTAGGTAATGTATCTCTTAATGTTTAAGAAAGTGTATCTTCACATCCAATATAGTTCACTGATGATCAATGTAAATTGTTATGAGCAAGCATTTTATAATAAGCACCATATCGTTGTGTCAATTCTGTATGAGTACCACTTTCCACTATATGTCCTCTATCAAGTACACAAATCAAATCACATGAACGAATAGTTGAAAGACGATGAGCAATAATAAGTGATGTTCGACTAGGGTCTTCTCTTTGAACTTTTTCAAGAGCATCTTGTACAATCTAAAATTGATCAATGAAGATGAAACTTTAATTGATAAATAGAAAAATAAACAAACTTGTTCGTTGTATGAATCCATAGCACTTGTAGCTTCATCTAAAAGCAATACTTTAGGCCGACGAATAAGAACTCGAGCAATGGCAATACGTTGCTTCTCACCACCTGACAGAAAACTGCCTTTTAACCCTACCTTCGTTTCATAACCCTAAACATATCATGCAATAGGAATAGATAAATTATAGAATTTTTCTCATTTTTTAACCTGAGGTAATTGTTCAATAAATTGATGAATGTTAGCTCTACTTGCTGCATTAATAATATCTTCCATTGGAACATTTTCTAAACCATATGCAATATTTTCAGCAATTGTTAAATCGAACAAAATAGGTTCTTGACTGACAAGACCGAATTGAGAACGGACCCAATGAAGGTTTAGTTGTCGAATATCAATGCCATCAAGAAGCTAGATTAAGTGGACAAATTTTATATAATTACTTAAACTATACGTTGAAGAATACTAACTAGTCGACCTTTTGTAACATCATAGAATCGTTCCAACAGTTGAATTATTGTTGATTTTCCACATCCTGATGCACCTGTATACATCATATTACGTAATTAATATTTCAAAGAAACAGTTAATTCAAACATACCAACAAGAGCCACACGTTGACCTTATCAGTGAATAAAAATTTCTAATAAATCGGTTAAGTCGAATCTTATCTCACTTACCTGGCTTGATATTCAATTGAAATTTGTTAAGAATAATAGATGTTGGCCGAGTTGGATAGATAAATTTGACTTGATCAAATTTTATCTCTCCATGAAAATCAATCTACACAAATCATATTATATTCATGGCATGTGGATGACTGAAAGGAAATGATTATCGTCTATATTCTCTTACCAATTCTTGCCCTTCAATAGATGTATTATCGATAGTTGGTTTTCGATCAAATAAATCAAAAAATGTTTCAGCAGCCGAAATTGATGCAGCGATACGGCTAGATCTAGAATGGAGATAGTAGAAGAAAAAAAGCAAAGTAGAGATTGAAAATGTTACATCATTCCAATGAGTCTTAGTGTTTGCATCGAAAAAACAGCAAAAGCAAAGACCCTAATAAATGGAAAAGATAACAAAACATTATCTCTAGATTATTAACCTATAGCTTCAATTACATTATAATATGGTTCGAGGAAAGTTTGTTCTTTTCAACAAGGATGAGAGCACGCCAGTATATAAATGCCATAGTATACACATCTACTGTCCAGAATATGCCATATGCCATTGAAGATAGTATCAAAGGTTTCCAAGATAGTCTATGACAAAGCAAGATTGATTAAAAATCTATATATATATATAAGATTTGATTGACTAACAGAAATACTTGACGAATAATTTCAGAATATTGTCGTAACACTTCCTTTTCTATTGACAATTGTTTTACTGTACGTATATTGTGAATCACTTCAACAGCAAGCTGCATAATGAACAGCAAGAATGAATATAGTGCTTTCATTTATCAAGCAATTCATGATAAAATAATTTTCTCTACAAAAAAAAAGACTATTAGCTAAAACTTGATCTTACCGTGCTTGCTCGTCTGATAATATGATCAGATTGTTGATCTACCCATATACGTAAGCACACTTCCCCATAGGTGACTATGCATAGAATAAAAAGAGGGCCAAAAACGATCAATGTTAGTTGCCAACTTATGAAGCATCCAAAGAGAATTCCAAAAAATGACAGTGCGAGAATTTCACAGACGACTCCTAATCGTGTACCAATCATCTCTTGAACGGCTGATGCATCCAAAGAAAGACGAGTACAAATTGCACCAGAACTATTTTCAGGTCGATCGAAATAAGCAACTTCTTGACGAAGAAGACATGCAAAAGCTTTCGAACGAATACGTTGCGTCAATTTTGATCCTGATATGGCAAAAGCTGTATACTATAGAAAGGAGTGAATAAATCATTGATCGAATTCAGAAGCAGCATTTTTACCTGAATGAAACGAAGAATCAATACGAAAACACCCAAAAGTAAAAAAAGAAAACTGATAATCAACACTTGATGATGTCTTTCAGAGATTGAACAATATTTGAATGCCTAAATAATAAGCAAATTGACAAAAAAACGATGTATAGTGTCAATCGTTTTTCCCAATATTTAACTGGATGGATTACTCACATCAATTATTTTGACAAGTAAAAATGCGAATAATGGTTGAGCGGTTCCATTGAGTAAACACGCTATACAACCAATCAAGATCGTAATCCATTCAGAACTATTCATTGACAAGAGCCTTAAAAAGGCAAATCTTCGCTTGAATGGTTTTAAACTTTGCTAAAAGAGAGATTATCAATAATGTTTTTTATAAATAATTGCAGTAATATTTGTACTTTGTTCACATCAATAGTGTGACTATCACTAAGTAGGCGAGAGCGTTCCACTGTGCAACAGAAAAAAACAAAGAAAAATGAAGACTATTCCTATTAGAATATTAGCATACATATCGACTTTTCTTCTTCTTCTATAGCTTTTTGTATGCTAGTTATATCATCTTTATCATCATCGACTTTTTCCATTTGTTGACATTTGACCATTGCTTGATATTTACCATCTTTTTTTGCCATCAACGTTTCATGTGTGCCTTGCTCAATTACACTTCCATTATCCAATACATATATTTGATGCGCATTTTGAATTGTGGTTAAACGATGAGCAATAACAATAGTTGTACGACCTATACAGAATGTTATATCAATAAGATAAGTAGAAAAAACAATTGTTACCTTTGCATGCTCGATCTAGCGCTTCTTGAACAATTTTTTCACTGGCATTATCAAGTGCACTTGTTGCTTCATCCAATAAAAGAAATGTAGGCTGTTTGACAAGAGCACGAGCTAATGCAATACGTTGTTTTTCACCACCACTCAACTGTATACCACGTTCGCCAACAAGTGTTTCATATTTCTAAACAAGAAATAGTGATACATATATGTAGATAAATGTAAATATTTGGTGCAAACATCTGGTAATTGCATAATGAAATTATGTGCATTTGCTTCTCGTGCTGCTTGCTCGATTTCTGCTTGTGATGCATTTAATTTACCAAAACGAATATTTTCATAAATACTCATACCAAACAGAATCTATGACAATAGTAAAAACAAATAGAAACCGAGAATAGAAAAATGACAAAGAAGCATACGGGTTCTTGACTAACAACTCCAATGTTTTGTCGAAGGTGTTGGATATTGTAGTCTGTTATCGGTCGATCATCGATCGTTATTCGACCCGATGAAGGTTCGTAGTAACGAAGAAAAAGTGATATACAGGTACTTTTTCCTATGTGTAAAATTTGAATACAAATGAGATCTACTTTAATCTTTTTGTTTGGGAAAATATTTACCACAGCCACTTGAGCCTACGAGAGCAGTCGTTTGACCAGCACGAGCAATAAGAGAGAGATTACGCAGAACTGGTACATCTTTTCGAGATGGATACATAAAGTTGACATTGTCAAATCCAATATTACCATTGATTTTATAAATCTGTTCTGTATCCTCTTTCCATACATCTGTTTCATTGACACTTGCATCATTTCCCTATATCATGTAAACAAATAGAGAATACTACTATCGATATGGAATTTCAATTTATTCACAATTACCTCGTCAATAAGTCGAAACACCGCTGCTGCTGCACCTCGAGCTTCTGAAAATGACTGAAAAAAAGGACCAATAAAACTGAAGAAACTTAAGCAATCTGCAAAGACGAAGATAACCTGCATCAAAATAGTAGTCATATATTCATTTCCTTGATGACTAATTATATGAAATACTCACGACAAGAATATCACTAATATTCAAACTCTGATGTAATTTGTCTGACATAAAAAGAGAACCAAAGATAAAACCAATTGTATAAACTAGATAAGTTGTTAGAGATATCCATCCAGTATAAACCCCAAATATTGCACCTTGCCGTATACCACTCCAACGAGTAGAATACAATTCTCTTTCGTATCTAAATACAATAAATATAACAACATGTTTTATGATATCAAATAGGTAAACTATTTTGTATATGTTTCTTTACCGTTTTTGTTCAAACTTGCTACTATTGAGAGAAAGAACAGTTCTTAGTGAACTAAACACTTCTTGAACGATTTGTCCCGCTTTCGAATATGTCATTAACTCATTCATTGTTTCACTAGCAGTGAACTGTAACAATTCATAGAGATTTAATTGATTGAACAACATTTCATACCTTAGAAAACACAAATGAACTACCAATCACCAAAGGTATCAAACATAGCATTATCGAAGTCAATTGCCAGTTGACAGCGAAAGATACTATTAAACAACCAATAATACTAAGTAACGTTACCATCAATACTAAGAATTCAAAACCAACACCTTTATCGATCTTTGCAATGTTACTATACAAGAATTGAATTATATGAATTTATTTTATATAAAATACCCCAATAGCTTACTCAAATAGTTTAGTATTGAGTTGACTAGTCGGGTTGGTGTCCATGTAACGAATGTTCTAAAAACAGAAAGGAAAAGAGTCAGAGATGAGCAAATTCGACCGAGTGTTACTTTAATTCTACTTCTATTCCTCGAATTCAACTCCATTTATATTTTCCAAATTCTAATCCAACTATAAATTTACGTTTTTTGAAAATCCTACTACAACTCTGGCTGTAAAAATTTATATTCTACCTAATCTTTATGTGGATGCGAGTCTGGACACATATGTCTGCCTGGATGTGCGTAAGAGAGGACCCACACTCGCACTCATGTCCCACATCGACACCCTCAACCTTCAAGATATCCCTTTTCGATCTCAATGACTTTTTCCCTATAGATATTAGCTAGTATTCTAGTAGAAAACTCTAAAAATATTTCAGTCATTATTGAGATTTAGTCGAGCTATTGAGTTGTTAATATATGTATTTGCTAGAGACTCCTGTAGGTCCCTTGAGTTTTTGACAAATTATGTTTCTCAATTTCGTCTTGAGACTATCTCTATTTGAAGGTCTCATATGCAGTGACTTGTATAAAGAGTTTCAGAGTTTATAGATTTTGTATCGTAGAGATACGAGCTTTTCAAAGTGTGCTGAAAAATACAAGAATATTTTGAAAGCTTCGTATTTCAGCGATATGAAGTCTGGAACTCTGAGATTCTTCGTGCAAGCTATTATATCTGAGACCTCCGGACAGAGATAATATCAAGACAAAATTCAAAAGCGCGGGTTCTTTCGAACATGTGAAGTCCCATGTGGGTGTCTGACAAATAGACATATTAAAAATTCAAGAGCTGCATCAAATCTCAATCGAAACAGAAATCCTTTATTAATTTTCACTAGAATACTAACTAGTATTTATGTGCAAAAAATTATTGAAATCGGAAGGCGACATCCTATGAGACTCTCTAGTATATAAACTCAATTCTACTCCAACTTTTATAGATAATAGTACCAACTCCGAGTTGAAGTGGCGCATTCCTAGAGTGGATAAGATCGTTTCTATACACAGTAATCTAGAGAATAAGTAATACGATTGCAATAACTACCTGAGTTCATCAATATTTCTTTAGCATCGTTATCAGAAATGCACTATCTGAACTTCAGTTTCCCAGAAATATTTCTAGTTTTACTGTTTGTAAAACTATATCAATCATGAAGATGTCTGTCTTCATAATTGTAAAGCTATTATCTACTGAGCTTGAAAGCTTCTCAAAAACAGTTCATGATTGCAATCACTATATAAAATTTCAAAACGATTACATTTGTATCAGCTTCTAAGAAAGCATGTAATATGTGAGTGGCAGCGAGGTTGAGCACATTTTGTACTGTTTTCTTAAATCGTCACTTTTAGATCTAGAAGCTCTAGGAATACAGGAATCTCGAAGTATATATTTAGCTAATTTCTCGGATTTTCTAGAATTACTAATTTGTGAATGGTGAAGATTTCTTAATACAAATGAATATAAGATGTTATCAATTTAAAGAAAAGATAAGAAAAGACTAAAATTAAATTTTGGAACAAGTTTTTCTATAGATGGAAGTCCTTATAACTTACACGTTGAACAAGTGACCGAAACAGGGAAGTATTCATACGAAATATCTGTCGTCTCATACTAATAGTCCAAATTAAATTATTAATCGAATCGGCCAGATATTCAACAGTAGCAATAACTACATTGGCAAAGACAAAAAAAAACGCAATTTTTAATATTTATTATGATCAAATTGTTAAGTTGAGTTCACTTACTGAATAGCCAGTAAACTTTGTTCATAACTTTTTCTCGAAATGAAGGTATTGATGTAGCTAAAGTTGATGATAAAATTACATCACCATAATTGTGCAATCTAAGGTGAAAAAGCTGTTAGCACAATTCTGTGAGATTATAATGTGAAACACGATGTAGCTGCTGCTACTAATCACTAGAGATTGCTTTATTCTATCTATTTTGGAACGCATCTCTTCATCATCCTTGTTACTGAATCGTCTAGAAACGCAATAAGCAAGTAGTTGAAATATTAGAACGGGACCTTATTGATATACGGTCTGTGATGGTATATCTGAGTCCGTTACGGACAATGATGACTTTTGTGTAGTGTCTCTCACAGTCTGTGAGGAGGGATCCAAATTTTCACCCTGCATACTTCAACACTCATTTTCGATCGTGTTTCACAAAAGTACTGAAGGAAAATAAAAGAAATACATATGAACCGATGATAGTTTTTAGTGAATTACTTATGTGACGAAGCATTGTTGAATATATTGAGATCGATGCTTTGAAAATATGTATTGTTTCTTTTAATTATAGCTATTGAATTTTGCGTTTGTTGATCACATGTATCACCAAATGATTCAATAGCAAATATTCCTGTGAGCCGACCGAAGAGAACCAGTATAGCTAGAACACAACCTGTTTGCAGCACTATCAAACACATGGCAATGAACATCAAAACAAAATCGATACGATTTGCAAACCGAAACTACAATAAAATCGAATACATCAATCTGTTTGCATTTCGTTGGAATAGACTTACTAAATGGAAAATACCAACTGGTTCATCTTTGGCACTATGTTCAGTATCATCGTCTAATTTGATATAATTATTATCGTTCTCTTTTCTACTGAAACATCGTCGCCAATCAGCAAAACTACAAACAATGATAAATTTATTGCATTTTTCTCGAAGTTTGTCATTTATTGGATCATACCTGTTGGTCAAAACTTGTTTGTTGTTCCCATTATCGTCATCATTATCAGAAATAGATAATTTATTGAATGCGTTTAGCAGCGGTTGTTTATTACTCATTTTATTTTCTTTTTTTAACACGACTCTCATGAAAAGTATTGACGAAAAGGATGAAAAAGTACCTTCGGACGTGGCAATCAACGTAATATACTTGAGTGATCACGCGTTATTTTTTTTTTCATGGCTACTTGAATAAAAACATATTAATCATACCGCCTGATTGAAAAAAATCGATTAAATGACGAATTCACGAGAGTGGTATCACTAGAAAGAGCGCAAAAAAACTGAGTATCACCCGAAAATATGAGCTCAGGGTATGGTGTAATCCCAGGCAAAAATTTTTAAAATACTATTCTCTGCAAGAATGACTTTGTTGTTCTCTCTATGTATTTTTTTTCGTTCCTTCAGCTGCGATGATGTATATATTCACATGTGACAGAACGAAAAGAAAAATTTTTCATACGAATGATGATAAGAGATACGAGCTTGTATCGTTCTACATAAAGATATGTGAAAAAAAATCTATTTAAAATAAATTAAATAGTAAATAATATAGTTTTTCATAGAGTATATATGAATTTTAAAGTCCAGTAGCATTCTCTCTAGTTATAGCATAATGTGTTCTTTCAATCGTCTTAGATTCAATTTACCTTCAAAGTTTCAAA